ATTCCATGTGAAATTCAGAGTTAGTTTATAAGTTCTCTAATTTATATCTGTGGGCTTATTCATAGTATTCCAGTATTATCTTTTTATCTTTTATCTAGTGATAATATTTCTTTATTCCTGATGTTGGTATTTTGTGTCTTTTCTTCTCGCCATCCTTAGAGGTTTATAATTTTATTAGCTTTTTTATTTTTCAAAGAACCAGTTTTTGGCTTCATTGGTTGTATCTATTGTTGTTTTAAATTTCACTTATTCTGCTTTTTATTTTCTTCATTCAGTTTCCTTTTGACTGATTTTAATTTTTCTTGCTTCTTAGTGTGAAAAGGTTAATTATTAATCTTTTTTCTCATCTAAGCAGTTAATGCAATAAATAATGTACTTAGGTTTCGCTTTAGCTACATCTTACAAATTTTAATATGTTATGTTTTCATCTTCATTCAAAAATGTTTTATAATTTGGGGACGGACTGTTTCTTTCACCCATAGGTAATTTAGAAGTGTTATGTAATTATTGGTTACATTATATTAGAGAACATACTTGCTATAGTACCAATTCTTCTAAATTTGTTAGGTTTGTTTTATAACCCAGACTATGGTAACTGTTCTATATGTACTGGAAATGAAAGTGAGTCTGTTTTTTTGTTTTTTGGGGGTTTTTTTGGTACCGGGGATCGAACTTGGGACCTTGCGCTTGAGAGTCAGGCGCCAGAACCACTGAGCTAAATCCCTGGCCTGAAAGTGAGTCTGTTGATGTTGAATGTTCTATAAATATTAAGCCAAGCTGCTTGTTAGTACTGTTCAGATCTTCTGTATCCTTGCTGATTTTCTTCTTTTATCTATTACTGAAAGGGGAATGTTGAAGTCTCCAGTTATAGTTATGGATTGTCTATCTCTGCTTTAGGTTCTGTTAGTTTTGAAGCTCTGTACCTCATGCCTACACATTTAAGACTTACTTTTTTTTAATGAATTGATCCTTTTATGAATATGTAGTATCTCTTTTTAACCCTGGTACTTTTGTTTGCTCTGAAGCCTATTTTATTTGAAATAAAAAGAGCCACTCAGTCTTCTTTTGAGATGTGTTTGCATGGTCTTTTTTTCCATCTTCCTTCCTTTAGCCTACCTGAATTATTTATTCGAAGCTTCTAGTAGACAGCATAAACTTAGTTCACTCTGTTGGGTAGTTAAAAGTGATTCTCATAATCTGTATTTTAGTTAATGGATAAGACTTTTTTAAACCTTTAATTATTTGTAAATTTGTAACACTTTTGTTTGTTCTGTGAGGTTATTTTGCCCATTTCCTAGGTTTTTTTTAATCCTGTTTCTCTTTACTTGCCTTTTTTTTTAGTTCATCTTATTTTATCTCTTCTGATTTTTGACTATATCTCTTTGAGCAATTCTTTTAGTAGTTGCTCTAAGAGTTCTAAAACACATATTCAACTTTCAATCTACTTAGAATTGGTACTCACCACTTCAGTTGGAATACTGCAAACATGTAGGTCTCCCTTATTAGAACTGTTATATATCATACCACACTGAACTTACATACATATATTATACCTACATTATATTTACATACATTGAAAGATCACTGGATGTTACAATTTCTTAAATTTCAACTGCCAGACATGTTTAAAAGAACTTGAGAATAGTCTAATATATTCACCCAGACATTTGTCATCCCTTCCTTCATTCCCGATTTTCCAAGTTGCACTCTAGTATCATTTCTCTTTGAAGATATTTAATAATGCTTTTTACAGGTATTACTGGCTGCAAATTCTCCTACTTTTCTTTACTTGAGAATGGTATTATTTCAGTTTCATTCCTAAAGGACATTTTTTCCTGAAAACAGAATTCTGTGTTGTCAGTTCTTTTCTTTCAGCACTTTGTAAATGCTGTGCCGGTTCCTTCTGGACACCATGGTTTCTGGTGAGAAATCTGCAGTCATCTCAACTACTGTTCCTTCTAGGCAATGTAGCATCATTTCTGGGTGCTTCTACAATGTTTGCCTTTGTCTTTAGTTTTCAGCAGAGCGATAAGGTACACAGGCATGTATTCTTTTGGTTTAATCTATTTGAGGTTTGCTTCATTTCTTAAATCTCTAGATCTATCCCTTTCACTAAACTTGTGAAGTGTTCAGTATTACTTTTCAAATTTTTTCTGGAACTCTGACACAAATGTTAGATTCTATTATTTGTTCTCAAAGTTCTGTTCATTTTTTTATCTTTTTTCCCTATGTTCCAGTTGAATACTTTCAGTTATTTTAATTATCAGTATTAAAATATCAATTGGTTTTTTCTTTAGAACTTCCATTTCTTTGTTGATACTTTCTACTTTAACATTTGTTTCAAGAATGTTTGCAATTGCTTGCTCAGGCGTATTTGTAAAACCTGCTTAAAGTTCTTGTCAGATCATCATAACATCTATGTCATCTTATCACTGGATGTGTTACCTTTGTCCGTGTCTAGTAATTTTGGATTCTATTCTGAAGAGCTTGAATGATACTATGAAACCTTGAGTGTTAAGTCCTATAGTGAATGTTGGTAGCAGCCAATCCACTTGGTTAGGTGAAGACTGCCTTCTCTGAGCTGTGGTTACAAGTTGGCTCAGTTTTTAGTGCTTCTGCAGGACTAATCTGACCTGAAGCTGGTACATGTTATTTAGAGGCCAGTACAGAACCTGCGTAGGATTTGTTACCTCAGTTCTCCAAGGCTTTTATTGGCTATTTTGGATCAGCTCTATCCACTCAGAGGTTGGGGGTGTACCCAGAAGTTCAGCTTGATGGGGTTGTTTCCCAAAGCTCCTCCCTTTCTGTGTCCTCCCTAGTATTTCCTGGTTCCTTCACACTTTCTGTTCTGAACCTCTGGTCGGAAACCACTCAATTCTATGACTGTGCCAAGCAGGGCCAGGCAGGGCCAGGCAGGGCCAGGCAGTGAATGAGAGAAGAAAAAAAGCAACAGGCGTGGAGTCTGCTCTGAGGCCTTGCCTCCCTTGTTCTCCCTTGTGAGAAGAAGGCCCTCTCTCACACGATGCCTCCTGCAGGCTCTGGTTACTTCCTGCTGCCTACAGACTTACCTACAGGATGGTGCACAGAGGGGCAGCTCTCAGGAAGGAAACCCTGTGAGCTTTAGGAATTTCCTTTCCTGCTTTGTGAGCTCGAACTAGAGGGTCTTTTCTGGAGCTCTCCCCATGGGCATCCCAGAGCTCAAATCTGGTCCAAAGGCTACACTCGGGTAGGGTGGAACACACCAGAAGAAAATGGGCTGAACTCAGTGCTGGCTCAGTGGTACTTTGAATTCTGGTTGCTTCTCTAATCTTCCTGCTGCTAATATTTTCCTGAGTACTCAGCTGTGTGATGCTTCTTCCAAGATTTATAACGCAGCTCAATGGTGACAAACGCTGATGTGTGCACTTATTCCATGTTACCCAGATCCCAGCTCTCTGCCTAGTTATTGTTCCATATGTGCCCGATATTATCCTCAAAAACCTGTCTGTACAGTCACATGAAACCCAAAATGATGTCCCCTCCCTGCAGAAAGGACGTCTGCACTCCTGCGTGAGCATACAGCACTGGGATTGCCTGGTGAGGGGCTGAGACCTTGGTGTGGGCTCCTCTCTGGGGCCTGGATCTTCTGGGGGATACTGCCTGCTCCCATGCACAGCTTTAGCAGGGCCACCCTGGAGTCCTTGAACTCTACACCCCTTCTCTCTAGCTAGCGAGACAGGTGAAGCCACACTTAGCCTCTCCTATAGGAATGGGAGACCCCCGCAGGAGCAAGGGGCCAGGACTGGGGTCCCATCCTTGGTCTCTGTCCTCAGGCCCAGTCATGCTCCACCACCTTCAGATTGCCCATGCTTTTGGGCAGGTGATTCTCATGACCTTCCAAACTTCTGTGGTCATCCTCGGTAGACGCTTACTCCAGTTAACACAGCTACCCCCAGTTTTCTGTCCTTTTTCTTACCTTACTTTTTTTTCCCCTCCCTCCCTCCCTTCACAGACAAAGAAACAGGCTGTGAAAGGTTTCCAGAGATCATTTGGTGTACAGGTGCAGGACGATGATTCAACACTGTGCTTTTAACTTCCCACTATGCTGCCCCTTAAACCCTGACAAATGAAAATTTATCTTTATTTCACAGGGGCTTTTCTTGTATCTGGGAGTGCATACACTATAATCAAGAGGTAATATATCAACACATTCTCATTTTAAAAGTGAGTCTTTCAGATAGGGTGCTGGTCCATGACTTCTCAGTGAAGCCTGGGCTCACGCCCTTGACCAGAGAGCACCTCGCCTCAGTGTGGCTTCGGTGAGGTTTTACTAACAGCCTAATCTTTTCCCCAACGTTCTGTATCATCAAAAGTATAATGCAGGTCACTGCAAACACATGATAGGAAATCAGAACTGATTTACAAGTATTTTTTATGAGTATACCAAAATGTTAGGCCAAGTTACTTAAGTAGCAACTTGTCCTGCCAACTGATAGGGAAAGTAAACCTTTTATTTGCTCAAATGACTATTTTCAGCCTCTCAAAGAACTGTAAAAATCAAGACTTAACCAGCAGCCCAGGGTGAGTGTACTGTTGTCTGTGTGGACAGGTGCAGGCACAGGTGCTGACCAATAACATGAGCTGCAGCCAGTGTAGATGGTTCAAAATCAGGCATTCTCAGAACTGAAAGGACCTCTGGCATCCCACACCCACGCAAAGCAGGTCCACAGGGCATGTTCAGCACAGGTGTGCTGCCAAGTGGGAAGGCCAGGGTGCGAGATCAGCAGGCAGGCAGGAAGAGCCTCATCGACACACACCTGCACCTTCCCTATATGGTCGCTGGAGCCGTTGCTGCCTTGACTTGACTGACCCAGTGGAAAACAGAGACGGGGACATAGCCCTGTAGGTCAGGCCCTGCACAGCACTGGGTACCCAGGGCACACCACAAAGGGATGCACAGAAGCCCACAGGGTACCTAGAGAGGGGACTGGGTGGGAGGTGGGGGCCTCTGGTGCTCCTACCTTGGCTGGCTTCTGGTTTCAGGGAGCTGACAGGAAGTGGGGGTGATGATTCAGGGACATCGGCTGCTGGGTGTTCAGCCACCGGACAGATGATAAACCACCTCTTCCCTGTGTGTAGCACTGAGAAGCAGAATATAAACAGCGTGCTGAGAGGGAGCCAATGTCTCCCTAGACCAGGAGATGCCCACCACCAAGCCAGACCTGCATGGGGGCTCCAGGGAACTTGTTTGTACCTATGAGGTTTTCTTCAGAAGGGTGGAGGCAGGGAAGCCATGTTCCCACCATAATCCTGAACGGTGACCCTCTGGGCACAAGTGGTCCCCACGTATCCCAGGGGCACCTCCCCTCTCCCAGGACTCTCAGGAGTAGCCAGCTTGGGTACAGTTCCTGAGATGCTTGGAGAACCAGCCATGGAGGTGATGATCCCAGTGAGGGGGAACCCTTGTTCTCCAGGCTCCCACAGCCCCATCAGTGGACTGCCCAGAGGCCCTGATGCTGTGCAGAAGGGGGGATTCTATCAAACACTGGCTTCAGAGCACAGAGGCAGGACATGGGGCAAATGGCCCTTCCCTGAGGTGTGGCATCTGCTGTGACAGGGTGGCTGGAAGGAGGTGAGGCAGACTCACCGTTCTGCTGGTACACAGGGGCGTTTGCTGGGGACTGTCTGCCCTCCTGGAGGAGAGAGGATAGGAAGTTAGTGCAGCCTGCGTCCAGGTAGCAGTCCCTCCACTGCTTCCTGCCACCACCCCCTCCCCCCAGCAACCTGGGTTCTCACCTCCCCCTCCACCAGGCCACAGGTGCCCAGGGGCGGCGGACTGGCCCCTGCATCGGAGCCCTGGTCAGCATCCGTGTCCTCACTGAGCATGTCCTCCGCCTTGTCCATAACATCCTTCATCTGCTCAATAAATGTCTCCCGCTCAGCCGGCAGGATGAAGTCATGCTCCACCTATGAGAGGATATGGGAAGCTGGTGACAACCTGCCACCGGCCACAGCTGTGCTGGGGCTCTATCAGGAATGCAGGGATCTCCATCCCGTCCTAGGCCCCAGAAGACAGAGCAAAGGGGCCTCAGAAGAGGACATTCTCAGGGGCGGACAAGAGTGGCTCAATCAGGTAAAGGTCACCAGGAGAGATAACCCAGATGGCACTGTCCTGTCCTGAGCCACAGCCCATCATGAACCCTCCAGCCACCTGTGGGGAGAGTATGGATGCGCAGCACCAAGGGGGCTGGGACTGGGACCAGGGAGGGAAGGGCATCCTGGGGGCACACACCAAGCAGGTGATAAGAGGTGGGAAGCCAAGTCTGTGTAGGGACAGGCTGAGTCTGCAAGCACAGCAGAGCTGTATGAGGTGGCCACCGGCTGCTTCTCCATGCCTAGCCTCAGTGTCAGACCTTCAACCTGGGCCCAGGCACACGGGGGCAGGGCTTGGTGTCCAGTGAGCAGCCTGGCTGGGGCTCCCAGCATCTCCTGCTTCCCAGAAGTGACTCTTGGAGTTTCCTGCCTAGACTCTCAGGCTGGAGGCAGCCAGTTCAAGCCAGAGGCTCAGTCCATGAGCCCACACCTATTTTCCCCTAGAATGTCTTAAGACCAGTGTTCCTCCCACCAAACTTCCCCACAGCCGCAGGGCTCTTTTCAGAGCTGAGTCCCGAGGGCGCATCTCCAAAGTCAGTCAAGTTGGGCAGGGCAGCCTGGTGCTTGGCCACAGAGGCTGCTTGTGGCACACATCTGGGTCCTGACCTTGCCTTTTGTCTCACCATGTAGCACTGCTGTGTCACATCCTCTCCCTCTGCATCTCAGACCCTGACGTCCACACAAGTGGCCCTCCTTCCTTAGTGCAGCACCCACTCAGGCCAGCTGCCATCCTCTTCACAGGCTTGAGCTAAGGCCAAGTGTTCTTCAGTCCATGTGATTCACTAGCTCCTCACAGCCACACTGGTCACACACAGGACGACTACCTTTCACCACTCACCCAGCCCCTGGGGCAGCAGTGACAGCCCAGGCCCTGGCAAGTGAGGGGAGGGCAGCAGGAGGTCCCACACCACAGCCTGGACACTGAAGCTTCCAGGTCGGTCACTGTCCCCAGTTCTCCCATGAGCGCACAGTCCCCCAGCGCTTCCTGTGCTCTGCTGTGTCCTCAGCCACTGAGGCAAGCAGGACGTAGTATAGCTCAGAAAACTCTACAAAGACCTCTGGGGACAGATGTCCACTTGTCTCCTTGCCACTGGGGTCCAGTCTCTGCCCTTCTGGCCCTTGCCTTAGTTACCCATCTTTCCAGACCCCTTCAGGGATGGGTCTATCTGCCCCACCTAAGCTGGCTGTAGAGCATGTGGAGCTCCATGCACACTCTCAGACAAGGACCTGGCTCGAGTACAGCATGGGAGTGCAACACGACGTAAGGGGAACACACCTGAGCCACCCCAGAGCACCCAGGTGCGACACAGGATGCTGTGTGCAAGAACATACGCATGTTCCAACGCCACACAAAACTGAACTATAGCCTCTTAGTTCTTCCAGCCAAGTATGTATTTCTTTGTAAAGAAATCAAAATTAGTTGAAAACCAACATAGAGAAAAACCTAAAAATACAGGGTGCAGGTATTACTTGGAATTAATGCCAAGTTAATCCAAACACCCATAGTTTCTCCCTTACTGCTGGGTTGGCAAGGGGGTCTTTGAAAAATAACAAACCCAAAGCCCAGCCAAACCTCCAGTGACAGCACACTGAGAACCCCTGCCCTCCACACCCTAGAGGAGGGTCTCCAGGAGAGGAAGAATTCGTCTGAAGAGCAACCCATTCCACCAGCCAACACCCATCCTTCCGCTCAAGCTCCTGATGCCTCTGTTGTTGGGGCAGGAAGGGGCGTGAGGAAGAGGGCACACGCGGGTAGTGTGATGAACCAAATTTGCATATTTATATTATGCCGACCTGTAAAGGTGTAAACGATGACTTGGCTTAAAAATGTCCAATTCAGGGCTGGGGATTTAGCTCAGTGGTACCACCATGTGCCTCAGAAGCTCAAGGTCCTGAGTTCGATCCCCCGTACCAAAAAAAAAAAAAGCCTAATTCAAACCCATCACATGAAAGAAAAAGGAACAAAATGAAAGGAGAACCAGAGTGGTGAGTATAAAAACAAGAAGAGGCTAAAGTTTACAAAGCTCACCACTAATAATCATCACTGAACAGGGACTTGTGTATGTAAAGGCACTAAAAACAAGCAGATACGGCCGGGGATTTAGCTCAGTGGTTTCACTGCCTGCTGCGCAAGCTCAAGGACCGGAGTTCGATCCCTGGTAACAAAAAAAAAAAAAAAAGAGGATATGGACTCACAACTGTATAGTCACAGTGCTGTGCAGAGGGCAAGAGAGGCACCTACAGGATCGACAGGCAGGGTGGCAGGCAGAGGCCAAGGGATTTATTTCACAGGCATTGGCTTTATTATGCTTCCTCACATATGAACACACATGCACACAAAAAGTAATGCAAGGTGCAAGTTAAAAACTCAGGAAGATGAGAGAAGAGATGCTGTACAGTTTCACAGGTCCAGTGGCCACACGAGGAGCCAGCCATTCACTGCTGGCAAAGGTCCCTGGTCCAACCCTAGCCCCGCACTTCCAACCCTCTCCTCTGCCAGGTCTTAACCTTGGCTCTCTCCTGCCCTCTACCTAACTTGTCTCTACCAAGAATCCTGCTAAGTCAGTTGAGGGAGAATCCCCCAGCTACCACATCCAATCAAAGTCCTCACAGCCCCTTTGATATCAGAGCGTGAGGATCCTCTTATGTGGGCTTAGCACAGTGGGTTTCAATCTGCTACAGAGTCTCTGATGTCGCTTCTGGAAGACACCTGAGTGACAGCTGTGAAGACACCCAGGAGAAGGGGCAGCTGGAGAGCAGAGCTGCCCAGAAACACCATCATAGGTCCACGAAGGTCCACTCCTGGCAGGAGAGGGACAATGGGCTGGCTCACATTCTGAACAAGAGTGTGCAAGGCGTGGGGCACGTGGGCACAGATCCTCCGCAATCTGACCATCCAGCGGGTTCAGCACTCTGATGTTCCCTTAGTCATTTTCCACTCACACACATGCCTGCCCTGCTCATGGGCTGTAAGCAACACTCCCCACCCCACCCTACTACTGCTGTCTGTGCAGTGCTGGAGCGGGTCCTTCATCCTTCCCCTACTGCAACAGTCCTGAATAAAGTCTTCCTGCCCCTCTCAACAGTGTTAGAACCATTTCTTCCTTAACACAGCAGGGACCATGCCCTGCACCTGGGCTCCAGGAAGGGCCTGTGCGAAGAGTCTGTGGAGCAGACACTGAGGCATGGAACTGTCCCAGGGGCAAACAGCTAGGGCTCCCCCATGAAACCCACATCAGAATTTAAGGTAGAATTTAAGGCCAGGGTGGCTGGGGACACAGGCCAAGGTGCAGCTTTCTGCTGACTCCAGACCTGGGCTGCTGAATGCAACAGCCACTATCCACATGGGACAATAAATTACTGACTTAAATTAAATTGTATATTCTATTCCCTAGTTATCTAGCTCTACTCACTGCATGTGGGGCCCTATAGAGGGAAGGGTAACAGCACTGGCCAGCGGCACTAGCTGCTGTCCCCGAGGACAGTTTCCTAACTTTCTCTCACACGTGAACAATGTGTACACATAGTGTTATCCCCTGAGGTCCTCACAGATGAGCCAGTGCATGGTCTGCAGCAGTGAGTCCATTTCACTGTGCCTTTGTGTGCTTCCAGGTGGACAGGTTCTGGGCCTAAGACCCCACTTGTAGCAAGACCAGGTGCTGGGGACCCACCAGTATCGCCAGGAAGCACAGGCATGGGACAGAGGAAAGTTCACAAATGACAAGGTATTTGTGGCATGGTCTGCACAGGCAGGGAAAGGCGTCTCTGGACAGAGGCAGAGAAAGGTGTCTCTAGGCAGAGATGCACCAGAGCTGGGGAATGGGGACAGGAGCACAGGGCTTGGGTTTACACTGCTGCTGGGGGTTGAGAGGGCGCAATGAGTTTTACAGTTTGGATTTAAATGTCTCCCAAAAGCCTCATGAATTTGGTATCTGGATCATGGGGGTGCTGTATTCATGACTGGATTTATCCACTGATAAGTTCATAGCTGAATGTGCCGTTAGGAGGTGCAGCCTGATAGTATGGGCCACTGGGAGCGTGACCTGGGAGGGTATATTCGTGTCCCTGGCTCCCTCCTTCTCTCTCTGCTTCCCAGCTGCCCTGGATTGAGCAGCTTTGTTCCACTATCCCTTTCCACCACAATGTTTCTGCTGTGGAGCCAGCCGCTCATGGGCTGAATCCTCTGAAAACAATGAGCCAAAATAAACTTCTCCTTTAAGTTGTGGGTATTGGACACTTTACCCCAGTGATGGGACAGTGACTAATACAGGGGCTCTAAGCACAGACCACAGGACATTAGCTGCTGGGGACGCTGCCTGTCCTTGCTCACCTGTGTCACCCGTCTGCAAGCCCCTTTTATTCTGAGGCACAGGGAACACTACGGTGGGGCAGTTGTGAACACATCCCCCAAGCTGCCCTCTGGCACCTGGTTGGTTTGCCAAAGTTGGTGCTCCCAATGCAGACCCAAACGCTTCCATACAGGCCTTGCTCCATGTGACTGGCCCAGCCCATGCCCAGGACATGAGGAGACAGGTTCACCACCCACCCGGGCCCAGCCTCACCATGTACGTGGCAATCTCATCAGGTGCGTCCCCATCCAAGTCAAACTTGAAGGTCACCATCTTGTGGTTATGTGTCTCTAGCTGGCATTCCACCATCTTGTCCCCTGTGTTGCACACCTACAGGAAGGGGACGGTCAGATCGCAGAGGACTCTGTACCCCTGTGCCCTGACCCCGGCAGCCACTCACATTCAGGATGGTGAGCCGGGGCCGGGCAGTCCTTTCCTGCCGGGAGCGGGCACGAGTGGACCTGCGGTGGTGTCTCCGGGCAGCCCTGCCCTCCAGCCTGCCCCCTCCAAAGGCGCCTTCACAGCCATCACTCAGCTCTTTTCCAGAAGTGACATCGGAACCACCAAAGCTAAGTAAAAACCAAGAATGTGAACAGCACCTACATAGATGACCAGCAAGCCTACTACAGACAGCCCCACCTGGGGCATTAAGCCTCTGGGGTCTGAAGCCATGACCCACAAAGCCAGCCACCGCCTGGGAGGGGACTCCTAGACTCCCTTTCTCCCTGTAACACCTATCCTAGGTAGCAGAGGTGCCATGCGGAAATGCAGGCTTTCTAGTTACTGGCCGCGTGACCTAAGCCCTCTCAGCCTCCTGACCTGTGACTTGGGTCTCATGCCTCAGTTTCCCCAGCTATGCAACAGCAACAGAACAAAGCAGCCACTCGGGGCTGCTGGGAGGACTTCAGCAGAGCCTGCAAAGTGTCCCAGTTTCCCGGAAGAGTAAGGACCCATGAAGTCAGTGGCGCCTCCCAGACCATAGGGAGGAGGCAGCCTGGAGCCCTGGGTCTACGCTGGACTTGGCTCTGCCCATAGGGGTGCCAGCCCCTCCCAACTCCAGGCAGGACTGAGTCTCTGCCACAGCCTCTCCCTTTTGCAAAGTCCTAGGCACACAGACCCAGAACACAGCCAGGCGGCTCTAGCAGCCAGGGCTCAACCATGAGAGCAGATCCTTGAGGCTCTCCAGGTGAGGTCTGGAAAAGGGGGTGACATTTGTTAAAAGCCTGAGGGCATCCAGGCAAATGGGCAGGATCTGAGCAAAGCAGCAGCAGGGGCTAGGCCTGGGCCCACGCCTCCCAACCACACCCCAAGGTCACAGCTGGGCCAGTACCTCTCACAGCTCTGCAGGGGGCCGGGAGGCTTGTCCTGCGAGGCTTGCTCCTGAAATAAAAACCAGAGTAAAGAGGACGGTCACGCGTGTCCTGCCTCCCTGCAGCACAGCAGAGGGTACCCCGATCTTCCCTTGCCACCTCCGCGGCCACTCTCTTCTGCCTGCAGCCAGCAGGGCACCAAACACTGACGCTTTCATTTTGTTCAAAGGCTTAGAGCCAAGCACATTTTTAAGCTGAGGGCTGCTTCCTTTCCAAAACTATTAACCCACTTTGATCATCCCTAAAAGAGGACTCATGGGTTTTGTGAAAAAGGTTTTCATAGGCTTTTGCTTCCTCTCCAAGGGAAAGCATCCTCCAAAGCCATTTATAAAACTCTTGCTCTCCATCTTGCTGTGGGCTTATAGTAAAAGAAAGCACACAGTTAAGAACAGGACTGTATGGCTGTCCTAGAGCACAAGTCACCTCTTGGGACCCTCCTGACCTCTAGAGCTGAGACCCCAGATGGCCATGAGCAGGGGACAAGGGCACACACCTCTTGGGCAGGTTCCACCATCAGCTGGACAGCTGGGCAGGGGCCAGGAATCAGGGGCCCAGCAGGCAGTGGCAGGACTGCTGGCTGCAGGAGTGCACTGGTCTGGGTGGTCACACTCTGAGGGGCTGCCACCACTGCGGGGGCTAGGGAGCTGGGGAACTTGGGCAGCAGCTCGGGGGCAGCAGGCGGCAGCACGTCCGGAAGAGGTGGGGAGAGGACAGCAGGTGGCAGGGGCACAGCGGGGACTGGAACAGCAACATCCACGGTGTACGGAGGCAGATGGCCCAGCAGGACCTGGGGGCACAAGGGAAGGAATGCAGGTTGGACACTGGAGGGTAGGAGACCACACCTGCACTAAGAGGGGCTGAGCCCAGGCACATCAGTGAGCACACGGGCTTGGGGAGCCATGGCAACATCCCTCTCCAATCCGCGTGCTCCCCCAGGCCATGTCTGGCATACAAACAGGGCGATCCTTTCCCTATAAAGGATCTGTGTAAGAATCCCCAGACTGGGACTGCACTTAAGAACTAGCTAAGCCCACATAAAAAGTCAGAAGGTAACATGCACTCAGTACCCAACCCTGCCCCCACCCCAGGAGTCTTCAACATCCTGCCCCTGGTCAGCCTCCTGGTCAGTTCCCAGCACATGATGGCTGTCCCTGGTGCCTAGAGAACCTGAGAGCACTCGCTGACATCTGCCTCCCCCTCCACAGTGGCCTGGAACTCAAGCTGGGACCCCACTGTGCTGGGCTCTCAAAAAGTTCTACAGAAGTGAAGAGAAGATGAGCAAGGAGGGGTCCACGGGTTTCACAGCACCAGGACAATCATCCTCTGTCCCACTTGGGGCTAAGAAGACTGAAAATTCAGATCAAGAGACCTGAGCCTCCAAAGCAGGGGCCATGCTCCCAGCCAAAGAGCTGTCAGAGCGGAGCAAGGTTGGAGATGCCTCCGTAGGGATGCCCGGGTGGGAGGTGCCCAGGTGGGAGCCATGTGGGTGGGGATTTCCATGTACAAGGCTGCTGCCAGGGGAGGAGAGTTCCCAGGCAGGAGGTATCCATATCAGCTTTTCCCCTCACTCAGATTTGAGCAGAAGGCCCTGGACCCAAGAGCCCCAGCAGGAATGTATCCCTGTGCTCCACAGGGTCCCTTCCTGGTCTGGCTGCTCAGTATGCACGCTCAATGCCAGGACAGTCCCCAGGCCCCATGATGACTCCCTCCCAGCTGGCAGCCCCTCTGCCTCACATCCCCTCTGTTAAGATGCGGTGTTAGTTCTGCGTCACTCTACCAACGTGCACTGGGAGGGCCCAATCCCAGCTGTACCCGAGCCCTAGGCCACACGAGCAGCAGCCGCCAACCTCTGACCACTGAGGGGACAGCAGGTGCTCCATGCTGGCTGCAGCCTCAGCCCTCAGGCTCCCACTCATTTCTTCACAAGACGAGGCAGCACAGGGCAGAGCGGACCACCACCCAGCTCCAACCTGCCACTCAGCCCAGGTGCCAAGGGGGAGCCCTGGCCTAGTGAAAGGAGCAACCTGGGAGTCCCTCAAGCCTGGGTCTCATGGGTCTCCAGACACCGGGAGGCAGATCCAGGTCCAGACAGCAACTTACCTGGCTCCCTGTGGCGGCGGCAGCTGGAGCCACTTGCTCAGGCAAGTGGGTAACACTGGGCAGGAGGGGCTGAGGTGTGGGTGTGGGCACAGGTGGCATTGTGGGCATGGGCGGCACTGTGGGCACAGGTGGTCCTGGCTGCAGAGGGGTGGCCCGTAAGCTCTGCACTGTGTGGTGGGGGGAAGGTGGGATGTCCCCAGGCACCATCTGTGGAAAGGCTGCCGGGTATACTGGCTGCGCTGGGAGCTGTGCCGGGAGCTGTGTTGGGAGCTGGGCCGGAAGCTGGGCCACTCCAGGATGGATGGACAGGGCAGCCATGCCCTGTGGGGCCACGGCCAGAAGAGGGATGGTGGCTGGTGCATTTGGCACGATGGTCTGGCAGGGCATGCCCAGGGGTGCCCCGGTGGGATGGGGCAGCTTGACTGCTTGCAGAGGCAGGGCAGGGGATGCAGGGAGGGGGGTGGTGAGGTTTGGCAAGATCACAGAGGGAGAGAAATACTGAGGTGGCGGCACAGGAGCCACATTTGCAGCTGGCAGGTCAGTGAGGGCCTGGGGGAGGCCATCAATTGCTCCCAGTGGCGTGATGGGAGGAACCACTGGCATCGTGGGCATCTGAAAGAGACACAGCAGCATGTCAGTGGTGGCGGGTGCAGCCCTACCCATAGCCCCTGCACTGTCAGCAGGACACTGGGATGAGGGCATCATGGCTTGGCCTCCCAGACACTTTTGCGCAACTGCCGTTGCGGAGATCCCAGACACAAACCCAACATAAAGGGAAAGGTCAAGCGCACAAAACTCCAAATAGAAAAGGAAACTGGCAGCTAAGACATCAGCTGCCAGACAAACTCCTGGGCACAGCAAGGAGGGGCCTCGCTGTGTCAGTACCCTAATGGGCCCCGCGGGGGAGGGGCTCTGAAGGAGCCTGCCAAGTGGCCACAGTGCTTTGAGCTTGGCAGCCTTTTTCTTCCCCAGGGCCAGGACTATGAGAGCCACAGACAGGTCCCAAACCTCTGGAATCACATCAGCCTGATGCCCTAATCTGTGTAAATTCCAGCCCAAGCCTGACTCCTTCCACGGTCCTCAGTGGTGCATGTCCTTAAGCCTCCCGCTGGTGGCAGAGGTGACACCCCCACTGCATGTCACCTCCCAGTAGCCAGAGCTCCTGCACTTCCGCTCTATCTTCTCAGCAATCCATGAACCTCATAGAAACAACTGCCAACTGGCCTTGTGGATTTAGCTCTTTGGCCTCTGGCAGCTTGCTCTGGAACAGAGCTTTCTCAGAGGTATCATAATGCACACCTCTGTGCAAGTACAGCAAACACACGGACCAACTGCTCCCTGCTTGACACGTAACTAAGTAGCACACCTCTGATGGGGAGATGGAGTTTAACTAGACCCCTAAGCCAACTCTGACGTGGTATTACAAAGATGAGGCCTGGTCAGTAGGTGATGGCTATCATGAAAACCAACAAATCTTCCAGGAGGGGCACATAAATGGCAAGAATATCAGATTAATGGGCCGGGGATTTAGCTCAGTGGTTCTGCCGACTGCCTCGCAAGCGCAAGGACCAGAGTTCGATCCCTGGTACAAAAAAAAGAGAATATCTGATTACCCAGTGGGAACCATGGTCTTCAGAATAAAGCCCACTTCCTGTCCTACCACCAGTGTCACAGGCCATCCCCATCTCTGGGGCCTGGGAATAGCTACGATCCTAGATGCCATTAGTCTGGGCCATGGTGACCAGCCCTGAGTATTTTCTGCACAGTCATGCTGCCAGGTGTTCCTAGTAATGGACAATGCCCCAACATAAAGTCACCACAGGTTACTTCTCCTGTTCAAATTGAGCAGCCTCCTCTGCACCCTGCAGTGCCACCCAGGTGGCTATCAGACCTTCTTCTCAGCCTTGGGTAACTCCAAAGGATGAAAGTGAAGCAAGCCTGTCCACTTTCTGTGCTCACTCGGTGGCCACAACATGAACCCTGTCCTTGGCCTTGGACTAAAGCCTTTCTCCATCCTGGTCACTGAGGACTGGATGTGCCCTGGGTGATAGCCACTGTCCCTCCTGAGGGACCACACACCTGCCACTCAGCAGCCCAGAGGCATCATAGCCTGGGCAGAAGGCCTGCTACGGTGGAGGAAAAGGCCAGAGGACTGGAGAGGGCAGGCCAGTTGACAAAGGGCCACATCAGTCCTGGTGCATGTGGCATGCACAGACCCTGTGCTGCCGAGCCCATGTCCCAGGCCCACACAGACCAGCCCTAGAGGTGCCCCGGTACCCCAACCAAGGCAAGCAGCCACTGGTTCCTGCCCCAGTAGTCAGCCCAGAGGTACCTGCGGAGGGACTTGAGCAAGCGCCTGCAGGGGTGGTTGTGGCATCTGGAGGGGCTTCAGCTGAGTAGGGGCCACGACCTGGGAGGCTGGGGCCAGGTATGGAGGCAGGTGGGGGGGCACTGGCTGGACAGCACCCAAGGGCTGCTGGGCCAGGACCTGCGGCAGGGCTGGTGGCTGGGCCATTGGAGGAGGCTACAGGAGAGAAAGGGACCTTCAACCACAGTCCTGCTGAGGCAGGGTGAATCTGTACAGACAGGCACGACAGAAATGCACTCACATGCTCATATTTATACTCACTTGTGCATACACATACTTGCACATATTTACACATATACACTCATCCTCAGAGGCATACACTTCAACATACATACATGTACTCTTGTATGATTGCACACTTTGACACACAACACTCACATGTACACGTTAGAATCACACATTGACAATACACTCAAGTATATACACATACACCACTCATACAAACACACAGACCACCAGACTCCAGCCAGACTCCAGGTCCAGGACCACAGCAGAGCTTAGAAAAATGTCCTCACGAAGTGGAGCCTTCCATGCACAGGCCCCATGTTATACGCGATGGACCCAGAAACAACCCCTCCCCACCAGCACACACACAGACCATCCCCGCTTCCTATATAATCCCGGGCCCTGAGAACCACAGAGTGCAAGTGAAGAGGCCACAGAGGCTCCCAGAGGCCCCAGGCAAGGTCCAGCACAGGCACCCACAGACCCGAGCCTAGAGCCCGCAGAGCTGCTCCCCTGCCACAAGAGGCAATTCAAGGGGCTCTGAGGGGGCACCACACTTACCTGCTGGGCAGGGGGCACTGGATGGCCAGGGCCTGCGGGCACAGGGGCACTGGGTGGTGGCAGCACAGGAGCAAAACTCATCATAGGCTCCGGGAAATGCTGCTGGAGGAGTGGAGGGTGAGTAGGGGCTGGGATAGAGCCCACGGACAGGCTGGGCTGCAGAGAGTGCCAAGGCCACATTCAGAGTCTGCCCTCAGCACTCTCATGCCCTTGCCAGTCCCCTACTAGGGACCCTGGACCCAGTAATGTGACTCAACAGAAGGTAGTTGTGGCAGCTCTGTGGCATTATTCCTGATGCTGGAAAGCCCAGGCAGTCACCCCTCCCAACCCGGGAATATTCTGGAACATCAACCCCATGGAGTATTATATAAACATGAGAACAGACCATCAGAGGCTTTGCAAAACTGTGGAGAAGGGTACCTTAAGAGCTTGCTGGGGGAAGCTATCAACTGAGTGACTCAGACTACCTAAGACGAATTCATGCAGATAATTCATAGAACAGGGTAAAATGAATGCAAATAGCACATGGCATGCGGGGAAGGTGCCAGACGGCATGGTCACAGGTACTAAAACTGTCACAGCAGGACCCCAGGCAAAGTGGGATCCTCTGAGACCCAGGCACAAGGTGGGAGAGCAATGGAGCTGCAGACAGAACATCAGCCTGCCGGCCCAGCAACTGCCTAGTGGGTGGCAAAGAGCACTTGGGTGCTGGATGCTGTCGAGGAACTGCGCTAATATCATACATAGTATTTTGGCCTAATCATGTTAGTGTATTTTGTTTTCTAAGAGTCTTCTTGTGCAGAGATGGAGACTGGAATGTTCATGGGAAAATGTTTTGCTGCCTGGGATTTACTTCCCAACAATGGGCTGTGTGAAGCCGGTAGGAGCTACCGAGCAACACATCTGAACACAAGTCCACAAGGTCTCTGACGTGAGACTCTGGGTTCCTCCACATGCAGTATCCTCTTGGGCTCTCTGGGTGGACAAGGACACAGATTTCTGAAACTGCTCTCTCTCTCTGTCTCTCTCTCATCATTCTCAAGTCGGTGCTTTATGCAAGGTGTTGGGTGGTGGGGGAGTAGAAAGAAAAGGCATGTTTGGGATCAAGCCTCTGGTACAAATTTACCTGAAGCCCCGGTGCTGATGTGTTGGCCCAGCTTCTGGTACCATGCATAGTCTGGAGCCCAGCAGGCCCTGCTGTTCTCCCCTGGGCCCCAGGCTTGCATCTCCACAGCACCCCTCCCAGGAAGGGCCAGGGGGGTGGGGCAAGCCTGCAGCACACCCTCAGGACCCCTCTGGGCCCCATCCTTTCTGTTTAAGATATCAATACGGGAGAAGGAGCTTTGGGCTCAACCCACATCTGTGACCTTCCAAGTCAGGTTTCCTGGCATATCTGCTGACAGTAAAGTCAGCTGTGTCAATAAACACACAAAACAGATCCAGCCCAGCAGGGACCCAGGCAGGGATCTCTGTGGCCATAGGGGCAGAACATTCTGGCTCTGCCACAGCTCAGGCAACCTTCAGCTCAGGCAACCCTCACAAGAATAACCCTCTGGAGCAGCAAGTGACCTTTCATTAAAAGGGCCTTTTCTGCCATTTAAAATCGTATTTCATTTTTTTAAATAATAAAATCACAAGTGCAGATTGCTAGTGTATCTTACAACGCCAGACATGGCTACAGGCTTCACCTACTTTTCCAAAGGGACTCTCTGGACCCTTCCCACAGCCCATCCATGTGTGCACAGAAGGGAAGAGGGGAGCCTGCAGCAGGGGACAGAGCCACAGCACCACACTCAGCCAATGTGAAGAAGACGTGCCACAGCAGCCAAAGAGTGACAGTGAGAAGTAGGACTACTGATGTGCCAGGCCCAGGCTTACAGGGAGAAGACAGAGCCCACCCATAGCTGGAGGGTCTAAATCGACCTTGAGGACTTGGCTCTACCACCAGGGTCACAGGCAAATTCTCCACAGCTGAGCACTTGGGTCCATGATGCAAGCAAATGTTTTGCTTTTTCAGTGTTAAAAATCAAAATCAAAATACAAATGCCCAGTGCGACACCTTCAGCTTTCCCAGATCTGCCACACTGCTTCTGAGGCATCCCCTCCTGCCTTCTCCAAATATACTGGAAATGCCCCCATGCTTCAACTTTGTCCATAGCTCAGACTTCCACCAGCTGCTATGACCTGGGGGAGCCCCGCTGGGCACTACCAGACATTTCCTCATGAGGATAGATGGTGGGGTCCAATCCAGGGCTCCAACATTATAAGTGATACATTTCTATGATCTTGGGCTAGTCTCAGAAGTGTCACAGGCCCAGGCCCAGGCCAGGTAGCTGTGTATTGTCACCATCATCACCAGCACCTTCTGGTTGGCTGTTACAGCCCCCAACCCCTGGGTGCTCCTGGTGATGTGTAGTTTTTACTTGGTGCTTCTTCATAGGAGCATCAAAGGCTGCTCAGGCACACAGTTTCACAGCTCCCAGCAGAGCTGGGGCTCTCCGTGGGGCTGCTTCTGTGGGTCGCCCCCCAGGAAGTGTAACCGGGAGCTACTCACAAGCCACCTTAACCATGACCACATGCAACACAACTTCAACAGCCCTCACAGACTGAATCCTAGGCCCTCCAACAAGGGGGCCAAGAACACAGAGCAGGGCAGTTCTCAGACTCACCGTGGCGGCAGGCTGTTGGAAGGCCCCCAGTGAGGGCAAGCTGTGCGCCAGTCCGGGCCCCTCACTCACTGGAGGGCTGCACACGCACGGCACCAGGGATGGAGTTGCATCCACAAGGGAACCAAGGACCATGCTCTGCTGGCTGCTCTGTGAGTCTGAGTACACCGTGGAGCCTTGGCCACTGTCAAATGTGCTGTCCGCTGGGGAGGACAAATGTTGGACTTAGCAGAAACACCTCCAAATGCTACCCCCCATGGCATTGCAAGCAAGCACCTGGTGGCTTGTCTGTATAGTTCTTTCTGCAAAACAAAGACTGGGATGTTTCCAAAGATTATATGAATAATGTACGTGTGCTGATTAAATAATAATGTATGTATGGGGGAGCTGTACCTGGGTCCCTACACTGACATGGCCTAACATCAGAGTGGCACAGATGCCAGGGGGGGCATGCCTCACAGATCCTGCTGTGAACCAGATCCCCCACCCCACTCCCGGCTCACATATGCAAACCTAGCAGGCTTTGATAGCAAGGATTTGTTCCAGCCCTTAAAAGCATAGGAGTTTACGGGGCTGAGATAATGTCACAGTTAAGAAAAGGCTAATGTTATAATTGTGGAAGAAACAATTTTGTTTTGTTTCGTGCAGCACTGGAAATGGAACCAAACACTCTGCACTGAGCTACATCCCAAACCCTTTTTCTTATTTTAAGACAGAGTCTTAGTAAGTTGCCCAAGCAGGATTTAAACTTGTGGTCCTCCTGCCTCAGCCCCCCTCAGTGCTGTGACTACAAGTATGTACAACCACGCCTGGCTCTATCACCATGTGGACTTTGTGCACTTTCACATTCATGGCAAAGGAGAATCCAGTCACAGACCACACGCCAGGAAGCAGGGGCAGTATCGAGTATACATAAGCCCCAGACAGGTTCCCAGAGGATGCCCATTCACAGGTCAGGCTGGCATGGATGGAATCCTCTGTGTATGAGGGATGCAGACAAGAACCCTCAGCCCACGAGCCTGTCTCACCAAGATGTGCCTGGGAAGACAGCTTGCTAGTGTGGCGATGCCAGTGAGAAGTGAAAACCCAACACCTGTCTGAAATGGCACTTTGAGTCACTGCTTCCAGATTTCAAAAGCCACAGAAACATTAGGATTTACCACCTATAGACATCACACTGTTTTCACAAGAGGCCATGTCTCAGAATGAGAACTGTGCCCATTGGTAATTCTGACAAAGTAAAGGGGAAGTCTTGTTGGCTTTGAATTAAAGCAATTTTTCCAAAGGACAAATGAGAATTAATTTAACCTAGAAGACATAAGGATTGCGGAAGTTTAATTGGGCAAAACAAATTAGACAAGAAGCTCTGATTTAAATGAGCCAACTGGTCAGTTCCACTTAGGAAGAGGGACAGGAGGGCGGGAGTGTGTGCACAGCCTGACAAGGCTCAAGTATAGCATCTCCAACCATGTGTGCAGCATTTTACATTAGGAAAGTTATGTGTTTATTACTTGTTAAATTGAAGATTAACTTTAGAGATCGTTTTGAGACCCAGTGAGGAACTATGTTGTAGCAGCCTCAGCTGCTGAAGTGGCAAGGAAGCAGAGTCTGATCAGGACTGCGGGGTTGGCTAATGGAAGACACAACAAAGAATTGTGAAAACTGATCTGGTGCTTTATCTTCTAAGGTGCAAATGTGCCTCTGTTTGCCCATCTTGTGACATGCAGGACCTGCTCAGATGTGTGTGCTGTCTAGCATCTCCATCAGCTCACCATAAGCACAACGTGGCTGGCCATTGTGGAACACTCTGCAACCAGATGGGAGATGAAAAGAGGATGGCCCAAAGGTATAACCATTGTAGAACAGAGAAGGACAGGGAGATGTGTTTGTAGTGTGTGTTTATTTGTGCATGCATATGTGAGCATATGTGTATGCATCTACGTGGGTCTGAACGCATGGGTGAGTATACATTTGTATCCGTGTGTGCACACATGTGTTGGTGTGCATGTATGGGGTATGCAAATCTGTGTGTACCTATGCATATTTGCACATACGTGGATGTACATGTGTGAGCGTGATTTGTGTGTACATGCATATGTCTGCCTGTGTGTGCACATGTATTTGTGTGTCTACATGTATATGGTAGATCATTTGTACAGATTGCCTATGGAAGGAAAGTTAGCAGACTTGTTGCAGGCCTTGCCTCTGGGAGGACAACTGACTTGCTATACACCCACTTAAGCATTTTGAATTCTACATCCTATGACTATATTACCTATTTTGAGAAGTGTGGCCATAACCTCTGCCCATGTGACACAAGTGTCTGGAACTGATGAAAAGTGGGCTGTTCTCAGAGCTCACCCATACCTGACATGCACTGACTGGCCGTCACCATCTAATTTCTCAGAGTATGTTAAACCTGACCTACAACATTTGTATATAAGAAAAAATAAGACTTCTAACTCCTTAACTGGGTCTCTTGTAAGTGCAATAAACAGAGATCATTTATTTTCCATCCTAAAAATTGTCTAACCAACGATTACAACTTTAAAGTGTGTGCTGGTATGTCAGATAGAGAACCTTTCCCCACACACACAAAAAAGTGCTCTTTAATTTTTTTAGGTTTCTCAGAAAATGGAGCAATGATGTAGCAACATTCTTTTCCAAAGCAAACATGAGCAGGTTGAAGTGAAGTAAACAGCAGGTCAAGTCTCTTAAATAAATCAAGGCTACTTGTTGGAATATAAATATCTACTATGAAGAACTTCTGGCTATTTCAATGATGAGAGATGTATATATTAAATAAATTAACAGAGTTTCAGTCTTTCCACATGAAAAACCTAAAATATTGGCCCAGGCAGGTCACTGGACTCTAATTCTTCTCTGGGCTGATTCACAGAAAGGACAAAGCCACATTCCTTGTGCTTAGCTCATGGCTGAACTTTCAGACACTGGGACACTTTTCTGCCTATGCTGCAGAAGAAACCAGATCCTCACACACAGTCTTAGATGAAGCCTGCTTCAAAGTGACTCCAAACTCATTGGTAACACCTTGAAAATGATGAACAAAAAGGCTCAGATTCTTTGCCACTGGAAGGGAGAAAATAAAGGAGGTGGATCCCAGGGGGAGCACTCTAGGCCAAGATACAGCATGCTTGTCCATGGTGCAGGATCCCCTCCACAGAGCAGATGGTGGCACCTCACCTGGTTTCCATGTCCCTCTCTGAGGCTGGGACTGTTTCGTCTCCCCAGAGAGAACAAGGAGCCTGCTCAAAGCCCACAAAATTCACAGTGCACAGAGGGGACTAAATCAGCCCTGTCCAACTCTACTGGCTCATGGCACTTTTGACCCCATCTGACCTAAGAAGCGGGACTCCAGTAAGTCTTAAACCCTCTGGTCACAGGCCTCTGGAGAATGTAGGGAAAACCTAACCCCTTCCCCAGAACAATACTCATCTGCATCTACTATCCATACTCCACAGGGTGGGCTGTGAGACAGGCCCCAGACTGGCCAAGGAATCAGGACCCAAGTGTCCCAGTACCTGACGGCCATCTGCTGGCCCTGTCACCCCGGATATGCCTTCCTCCAAATATGGTGATATGCCCTAGTGTCAGGGATGTGGCAGGAAGTACACCTGCCGGGGGGCACAGAGCCCAGCCAGACCTCCTGGGCAGCACCTACAGCTGGAAGCAGTAACCTAGTGTGTGAGGACAGCTCAGAGCTCACGATGCCACACTCCAAGCTGCCACAGTGTCAACCTGGCCCTCCTTACAAAATATTCTAATAAAGAGGAAGTTCTTTCTTTGCCCTACAGATGGATTCACTGCGGGGAGGGGGAACAGGGACATAGCAGGCAAAAGTGACCCCACTCCATGTACTCACAGGCCAGGGAGGTGGCACTGGTAGGCAGCGTTGCAGGGAGAAGGTGCTGGTCAGCCTCTGGCTCCTCAGGCTCGGGTGGCCCAGGCTGCCCAGCCTGCCCATGATAGGTCACCTGGACCTGAAGGGGTGCAGGTGGACCCCTGGCCTTGTCAGGGCTGCCTGAGTCCCTTGGCTCCTGGGACTGTAGTGCGGGCCAGATCCTCTCCCGCCGCCATTGGATCAGTGCCACACGGTCACGAATGGACTTGGCCACAATCTTCACGTCACTTTCATGAAAGAATCCAGAGTCGATCTGCAAAGGTAGTCACATCATAAGTGTCTCGGGGACCAGATGTTCCCACATGCACATCCTACCACCAGAACTACTGCCACTATCTGTACACAGCACAGATTTGAGGTTCTCTCCTCAGGAGTGTTTTCTCTCATCATCCCAGAAGTAATCACCCCTGAAATCCACAGGCAGCTGGTGCTCAGCAAGTGCTCCATGACCTCCCAGTCCCCGTCCTGCCCTCTACACAGGTGAAGGAAGCCATTCTGTCTAGGAGCAGTATGTGTGGACTGGTGCCTGACAAAACCCTAAGACCCAATCACCATGCCAAGAGTCTGAGAGCCTTTGCCAAGGAGCCTGGAGATCTCCTGAAAGCACAGTGAGCTTGCTGAAAATAATCATGGAAAAACCGCATTCTGCAGACAGACCCCTTCTGAAGGGCTGCTCTGGCTGGATTAAAGGTGGTGGCCCATGACCACCAACACATGAAAGCTCCTCAGTACCAAGATTTCAAATCCCTTGATGAGTAGTTCAGTCCTGAAGATGCAGGGTAGCACTGGGCAGGTCGAGTGTGGCCCTTGAGGGAGGGGTGGGTGGTTCCAGGCAGGGGTTCCTGGGCAGGGGTCAAGTGGGGCACCATTCAGGGAAGCACGTGACCATGCAGAGCTGGCCAGACAAGAACACACATGAGGAACACAGGCAGCCAGGCCCCTCTCGTATAGAAAGCAGGAAGCCAAAATAAGGACCTGTGGTGTTGGGTGGGGACCAGAGCTGACAGTGAGAACTGCAGAACTGATGTACAGACATACAGCATCTATGTGGGTAAACATGTAGACACACATGTCTTCATGAGCTCTGTCCACCCAAGGGCCTCGGGCACAACATTCACAACCCTATAAGGCTCAGTGGTTGGAATGCAAGGAGGGCAGGAAAACCATGAGGAAGAGCTCAGGGAATGCCAGGGATGTGCAAAGGGACACAAGAGCCAGCACCAGGACCACCTGCTGGCAAATCTGGGCCACTTGAGCACATTTGAGCAATAATACAATGATGATTTGAAAGGTGACGGTGTCCCCAAAACAAACACATGTTCTGCATTCATGTATTGGACGGCAGGAGTACAGATCATGTATGGGGCAAAAGGCCAGGGTTTTCCTGGTGGTACTGGCTGACTCTTGCTGATCTCTCTCTGCTTCTCTGTAATTCTAAGTATCAGGTCCTCCCTCTTTTTCTGTCTCTCTCCCTTTTTCTGTCCTCTAAGTCTCTCTGTCTCTGTCTCCCTCCCTGCCTCCCTTTCTTTTGGGCATCATTTGCTCCAGGAGAAGATCTGTCATGAGATGCCATCTGGAGAGGTCCACCTAACAAGAGGCCTGGGGTCTCCAGCTCCAAGAGCCAGCAGATCTGAGCCTGCAGCCCTGGCCAATGGCGGACTGTACCTCACACCTTGAGTTGCTCCTCACCCCTGACCTTGGAGACTTTGGGCTAACCAATTGCGCCACTGGAGCTCCAAGCCAGAGTATTGTAAGTGCCTAGTTTAGGGACAACTTGATACAAAGCAGTAGACAGCTCCTCCATGAGGAGAACCTCCTGAATAAAACAAAATACAGTGAGCCATAGAGAACTAGAAAAGAATGGGGAGTGTGAGGGAAACAGGAAGTTACATAGGTTAAAGCCCTTCCCGAACAACACATTTCAGTACAGGAGGTGAGAGTGACCCCACATGGACAAGCCACAGATGTCTCTGCTCCAAGCCCTTACAGCCAGCATCACATGAAATGGTACATGAGCTGGGTCTAGACCAATGTGCCACAAGGCAGCACGTAGGGAGAATATGACCCCTTCCACCAGGTTTCTGCAGACGCCCCACAGCCTAAGAGTGACCCATCCCAGAGGGACCCTGAGCCATGCCCACAGTCCAGACCATGAGAGCGGGGAACTACGGGCTACAGGAACATAACACTGGCCCAGTATTCTTGCGTGGTGGTGTTGCTGGGATGCAGAAGACCTGAGTAGCCTGAGGATGGACAGTGGTGACATGCTGAAGCCACTTCTGACGCTCTCTGCTCTGTGGAGTTATGCAGGGAAATGTCACACTTTGTAGGAATGGAGATGAAAGTATCAGGGGTAGTGGGCATCAAGTTGGCAATTTCTTTTCTTTTCTCTTTTTCTTTGAGACAGGGTCTCACTATGCAGTTCAAGTTGGTCTTGAACTCACCATGTAGCCTAGGCTGGCCTCACATTTCCAGTGGTCCTCCTGCCTCAGCCTCCCAAGTGCTGAGATTACAGGTGTGCACCACCATGCCCAGAAGCAACTTATTTTCAAATGGTACATGGGAAAACAGTCCTCGGTTAGTACCCTGCTAACTTTTTAGTAACTTTGTGATAATTTCAAAATAATTTACTTGGTGCCAGGTGTGGTAGGGCACGCCTGTAATTCCAGCACTCTGGGAGGCTAAGCCTGCACACTCAGCAACGTAGTGAGATCCTGTCTCAAAATAAAAAATGGCTGAGGATAGAGCTCAGTGAGAAGGCCCTGGATTCAGTCCCTAGTACTGGAAAAAATTTATTTTGAATGCCAATTCTATTCAACAGAATGAAGATCCCTCACACAATGACTCAAGCAGAAGTGGGAACAGTCTAGGCAGATGGCCAGGGCAGGGACAGCAGAGGAGAGCCCAGAGGTGAGCACCCATGGGCCCAGCCACCAGCCTGCCTGGAGAACGCCAGGCACAGGATGATCTCCCATCCCAAAGGAACGAGGCTCAGGTCTTCTTTTGCCTTAAAGTCGGGTGCCCCAGGCTCCAGCAACTGGGGCCTTTGTGGGGAGGCTAAGAGGACCAGGACAGGCTGACGCGGGTTTGGGACTGGAGAGGGTAGCCCTGTTGCTTATACCTGGGGACAGGTGTACAAAGGGAACCAGAGCACATGACTGAAGCTGTCCCTAAGGCCCCAGGTGACCTTAGGTCACACCAAGACTGACAGCCTCACGCCTCCAGGTTTGCTTCTATTTTCTGCCACCCCTTAGTCATAGCCAATTGTCCTTTCTCTTCTGTCTTCACAGTCTCCCCAGACATCCTCACCAGGATATTTCTATTTTTCTCCCAAACAGGTTGAAATGCAGCTCATTCTGTGCCACCAGGTGACATCATCTGGAGTTCTGAAGCGAAAGGACGAGCTGACCCAAGAATCCCCCTCCTCTGGGGGGAGGGCAGCTGTCCGACTCCCTGGAGGCAAATCAAAGGCCAGCAGCCCAGGGCCGCTCGGCATCACTCTCGGCCTTGCTGATCCGACCCCACCCCATGTGCCCATCTTTGTCCCCATCCCCTCAAGGGGTCAACTGGACTCCGGAGCATCTCTGACACCGTGCACCTACGTGTCTTGGTTTTTTGTTTTTGGGGGGTTTTGTGTGTTTGTTTTTTTGGTACCGGGGATCGAACTCGGGTCCTTGCACTTGCACAGCAGGTGGCGAAACCACTGAGCTAAATCCCCAGCCCCCATGTCTTGGTTTTTAAGGCAGCCCCAGGTCTCGGCGTCTCCCTGGACTCATGATGCAGCATCCTATGGCCAGGCCCCCTCCAGCTGGGTCCAGGGAGGCACTGGTGGCAGACACCCGCCCCCAGCAATGATCCTGGGCCAGTCTCCAATAGATGTGAAAAAGGAGGGTGCGGCTGGATGTGGAAAGGCCTCCTGGGGCCCAACAAGGGCAGGACAGAGCTGTGAACAAGACAGACCCTGTGGGGCTGGTCCTAGAATAGAGCCTCATGGCTTTCCGCTGGTCATGGGCTGGGCCTGTTCTCTTTCTGCCCCAGAGTAGAGACCCATACTACTTCAATATGGCTCTGTATCTGGACACAAGTCAGATCCCTTCTGCAAGATGCTGTTTCACAGGTGGCATGTCTTGCAATGAAAATCAGGGTTAAGAGACAGATGGCAGAGGAAGGGGAGGGAAGTAAATGGGAGGGGAGAGGGGAGGGGAGGGATACCAGGGGTCTCCCTGGAACTGAGCAAGGGACACAATCTGTGAGGTCAGCCAAGTGCCAGGGACTGGTTGAGGTGACAGCCACATCCATAATGTCCCTCTCCTATGGAAGGCGGACCTGCATGGCTGTCATGATGTAGGTATGGGGTAGACTGCTGAGAGGTTCCTGCCCTGAAAGCAGCTGAGCACAGCCCAGGGCACATTTGGGTATGGGGCGTGGCCGTCTTTGAGGGAACCAAGCCAGAGAAGTTGAGGTCTGGCTGAAGCCCAGACACTCAGAATCCACTTGTCTAGGATCCTGGGCACCTCCAAGATGTACCATCCACGCTGGGATGGTCCCTCATCATGTCCCAGCCGTCCTGCAGCTCCAGACCTCCTGGCTCAGCTCCCAAATCCCTCATACCCTGATGAGTACCAGGCAAGCACAACCACATCTGTGGAAGGAGCAAGAGAATCTCATTTCACCTGATCCTCCTGAGGGTATTCCACTGCACCAAAACCAGGATGCTCCCTGCAAGGCCACAACCAGTGTGATGCCCCTGGGACCCTCCTTATCCCCACATGCCTGTGAGACTTCCTCCCATCTCCCTGAGATGCTGCCTCCCCTCTGGTCACCCTGGTGCAGCATGGACAGCCAGCACAGAATCCTTGGAGGGATGCTCTGAGCACAGACGTAGCACCAAACCTCAGGTCCCACGCACCCACAGCCAGCATGCCCCTTCACAGTTCACTTTCTTTGCAATAAAAAGTGTGGGGCACAACTGTCACATCACTGAATAGAAATGGTGCTTGTGACGGCAAAGGATGGACAAGCTGGTGATCATCTGAATGCAGTGTGTAGTAAATCTGCATGGTTCTATTTGAAAATGCAGCTCTGTACACCCCATTCCACCACCAGGAGCCACAGAAAGCCCTCCAGGAAGCACAGTCTGGCCTCACAACAGAGACCTGCTCACAGCAGAGGTTTGTGTGTCTGGTCTGGGAATGTGACCAGTGAGGGAAGACTGACCCAGGGATGCAGGTGACTACCTTGGAGCCTCCAGGGGTGACAGTGCAGCTGGTCCCCTAGAAAAGCTGGCCGAGGCTCCAGCCTCCAGTGGCATGTCACACCTACCCTCTCCCTCACAGTGCCATCACAGCCCTGGACACAGGCCACTGTCCAGGCAAAGACAGACCCCTAGCCAGGGCACCAACAACCCCACAAGGTACTCTTCAGAATTCCAGGCTCCAGGTGCTGAGACCATGCCCCAACCAAGCCAGGGTGGGGGGTGGCCAGGAGCACCCCATCTTGTAGCTGTGGAGGCCAGGGTGGCATGGGGCCTGTTTCCAGCAGCCCTACAGTCTGGTGCTTCAGAAGGACCTCAGCTCAGTCTAACTCCTTGGCCACACGCAAACCCCAGGAGTGGCTCCATTACACCCACCTCCCTCCCTGGGGATCCTGGCTGTGAGGCTGCTGCTCCCTTCCTGTGAGCCTGCACGTACAACCTAAACCTGCCATCCTGTGGACCCCTTACAGACCATGTGCCCCCCACCCATGGGCAAATACTAGACTCACTGAGCCTCCTTCCTGGGCTCCAAGGGCTCATGTACCTTCCATGGTACAGTCAAGCCTCAGTTTCCCTATCTGAGCAGGGCCTTAAGAGTTGCAGTGCAAAAGCACTGGGCCCCAGGAGGCCTATGCAAAGCAGCCTCTCCTCCCCATCTCCTCACCCATCCAGGGTCACATAGGCTTTCCCTGGATGGAGAAACAAAGAACCTACCACCCTGCAAAGCTGGGATTTACAGACTGGTACCATTTGGGTCTAGATGTTTCCCCAAAGCCTCATCCGGTCACAGGTAGGTGAATCTAGAATGTGTGAAGCTAGGATTAAGGGGATGTGATTACTAAACCGCTACATGTGAGTGACTGGCTTGGCATGCCCTATTCCCAGTAGTCAGAATAAGACAAAAGGAGCAGAAAGACACTGGTACGGTCCCTTGTTGCTTTTGCTACCTTGTGCACACCAGGTTGTTTCTCCTCTGCAATGTGTGTCTGCCATTTACCCTGCCATGGAGCCAGTCGATTATGGACTGAAACCTCTATGAACTGTGAGCTAAATAAACCCTTTCCCCTTTAACCCTGGGTGCCAGGTATTTGTCTCAGCAACGAGAAAAGTAACTAACACACAGACATGCCCAACAGATGTGCTTTGCTCAGTGCGAAGCCTATTTAAAAACAAATTTAAAATGGCGAGCATCAATTGTGGCAATGACATGTAAAGCCAACGGCTCTCCTACACCAAGCCACTGGGTTCATTTCTGCTCAGTGTTCCTACTAAATATTAGCAGCTCACTTATTCCTAATTTGCCACTTCCTCACCCTGCCACACTGAAGGCCTTCCTGGGCTGCTGTTTCCCAGGGGCTTGCCCCTGTGCCTTTCCTGCTCTTGCCATCCAGGGCAGACTCTGGTGTTCTTCTCATCCATGAGTCTGTACTGTTTAAGCTGGTTCATCTTTTATAATTAGCAACACAGATATCTACCTCCTAACCTGGCACAGGGCTTTCAGAAGACCACAGCATCACCTCCTAACTAGGCTCCCACCCTGTGCCTCTTGGGAGTTAGCTGTCCACTGTGCTTTGCAAAGAAGCCCCATGAGACTGAATTTATGTTTCTGTTACAGTAATTAAATTTAAAATTAATTAAATTTTAGTAGGCACACTTGGGTGGTGGCTACCATTTTGGATGGCGTAGGCCTAAAGGACTGAGTCAGAACAATTGCAAGGGTGCACAGACTTGAGAAACCGGCAGCCCCTGGCCCCTCGAGTCCCCTCACCGTACTCTACACATGGTCATTATTATGCCATTACTACCACCTGGACTCTTCTCGCCTGTGCCTGCCTCTGCACCACTTGGCTGCATCTCCTACCTCTCACCCCAGCAGGCTCTGGGCCAGCCTGCTCAAGGCCCAGCTGGACACCCCAGGCAAAAAGTGGTCACTCCCCTGTGGATCCCAGACCCTTGCCCCCAACAGAGGTATGGTGAGGGAGGGGCAGAGGGAAGAAGGGTCAGGACTGACTCTTCCACCACCTCTCAGGTGGAAAAATACCAGAAACCAAAGCAACCACAACAGCACCCCCAAAACAAATGGACAGAGATCCCTAACTCAGCACCACCACATTGGAGCAAATTTGGCAAGAATTTGGCCAAAGCCGGCAAGGCCTTTCCTGATGCATCAAGTCCCCAGCTGACCCTCTACTCTCACAACTGACTCCTTCCGTGCACTGCATCCCAGCTGCTCTTCCCTGGGTCCTGTGCACAGAGGAGACTTCCAAGCTTTCCTGTCACTGCACACACACCTGACCATACAGGTGGACCCCCAGCCTGCCTCTCAGAACTGCTGCACCCCTCCTATCCATGCTGGTCACTCCCAGGGATGGCTCACCCTTTTCCCCCAGCCTCCCAGCTGTTGGGAGCAATGCTACATAATTCTAGGGAAAAATCATTTGGTTAGCCTAGTTCTCTTGCCTACAGCCCAGCTACAGAATAGCTCCAGTTTGGCCTCCGGTCACAACTGAGACTTCAGTGATCCAGTAATGCTGTGATTCTCCAGGACAAGAAACATCCTGGGAGAACAAACATCTGCTCAGTTCCTCCTTGTTCTTGGACTGTTAACATCTTGTTTGCCGGAGATGTACTGAACTCTCTGCAAGCCTTCCGTTACACCTTGTTTATCCCAATGTGAACTGTTGAACTCTCTGCAAGTCATTTGTTACATTTGTTTCTCTCGATGTACTGAATAAAAGGTGTGGTAAGCGGGGCACGGGGCGGCGCTTTGTCTTTGCTGCCCAGAGCAGCACTGATCAGACCCAAAGCTCAGCTTCTTCTCAGTCTCATTTGTCTACCTTTCCTGTAATTCGCCATGTGCTGCCGTGGCTCGCAGGAGACCAGGACTCACTGCAGAGGTTCTGGTAACGTCCCCTTCCCCTGTCCCCTACACCCAGCCTTGCTCATGAGCCCAGTTACAGGGCTGCATGAGGTTCGCACACATTACCATTTCCTGGGCCACCTCATCAGGGGTCTCCTTCTCTAAGTCGAAGGTGAACTCTATGGCTCCGTTGTCCTTGGGCTTGCCCTTCAGCTTCTTGGGGTCTTCTACCCAGAGCCGCAGGGCAATGGTAGACTTCCTGCCGTGGTCCTCCTCTGCCAGTTCCACCCTGACACCAGTGTCCTCAGCAAAGAAGGCATGGCTCAGCAGGTCTTTGATCTCGTACCTGATGAAAGTGTTGTTCACAGGCAAGGGCTCAGGGACAAATGGACTCTACACCCAAGGACATGCACACCGCATCGCCCCCAAGCACCAGTCGGCTACCTGGTAGCTGCTCAGCACTGGGCTGACTGTGGTAGAAAGTTCTCAAGCTTCACCACCTGGCAAGCAGGCTCAGCAATGAGGGCATCTCCTAACTATGAGCATTTGCATTCATGAGGTCTTGGGAGTTGAGAACCAATTCTCATCAGGGTATGCCCTTACTGCCTCATGCTCTTAAGACTTCCTTTCTTCTCCTTGCCCACTGTGCAGACAGAGCCCCTGCTGATGTGCACATGACCTTCCAATCCCCACAAGAGACCCCTGGCTCTGGGTAGGACTGGAGGGGCAGCACTACAGAGCCCCCTATGCCGTGCCATGATGGGGGTCCTGGGCCTCTCTGGAGCAGTGGGGTTTGCAAGGAGGCCTCCTGCAGGAGAGAGGACTGATGAGGCAGAGAGGAGGGAGCATGTGTGCTAGAGAAGCGTAAGAGCAGGGAGGTGAGCAAGGACCTACAGGATCCAGGGGTGGGAGCAGACCCCAGCCATGGGAGGCACTACAGGGGAGTCCAACATCTGGCAGCTGCATGTTGCTATGGTGGCCCCTCTCAACTCTGCCCAGCGGTGCCACACAAACATACATCTCCAACTCCAGCTCCCCTCTTTCTTTCAGCACAAATGGAATCACAGAGCAAGCCCTATTGTGGGTCTGGCTTTGTCCAGCATTGTGTCTGCAGAGCCACCGCATGGGTGTAAGCATCAGCAACCCATCCCTGTGGACAGGTGGGGGTGTTGTGTGCTCCGGTTTGTTTTAGGGGGAGAGAAAACTGAAAAGTGTCCCCCACCTGTCCATCTGGAGAAGGTGACCCTGCTCTGAGTGGGGAGATGGCTTCACAGAGGGCTTACAGGGCCCTGAGGTGGGTGTGCTGCCTTAGAGACATCCGACAACTACAAACCCAAGTACATAGCTAAGGGTTAGAAGAGAGTCGGGCTGAGGCAGAGCTGGGAGCTCCAGGCATGCGGGTGTTTACCAAGGTTAAGAAAGTGGCTACAACTCCTAGGAATGACTAGAGAAAAGCAACGAGGGGCAGAAGGAAGCCTTAGGCTATCAAATGCCCCAGCCTGGGTCAACACTGCATCTAGGAAGGCAGAGAAGGGCATGGGACTGAGAGCTGCCCATACCAGCTTCTGGCCTGGTGTCACTGTGATCTGAGCCAATCTGTCTGGCCTCTAAAGTTCTCTCTCATTGGGAATAAGGCTCTAAATGTCAACTGGAGAAAGACCAGACCCAACACCACACTAGAACTCACCTTTCCTCCTTGTTCTTGCAGATGCACTCCCCAATAATCTCCTTGATTTCAGGATCATGCACTTTCTCAAAGCTGGCAGGCTTGATGCCCTGAGAAGGAAAGAGAAGAGACAGCTGATAACCACTGAGGGGCTGGGAAGTACTACCTTCAGCCCTGTGCAGGGAAACTCCTCCAACTGTGACAGAAGTGGCACTGGGCTTATATACCACAGATTTACTAGGAAACTAGGCAAACTATACCAAATGGCCACATTCAGACGCTGAATGATGGGCTGTAGGATGTGGGCTCCGAGAAGTGATCCACAGGGTGCTCCCTCCCACAACCCTGCTCACTGCCTGGACTAGTTCCCAGAGTGAAGCAAAGAACCCAGCAGAACCTGCAGTCTCACTGAGCTGAGGGTAGAGCTCAGATTTCAGAGAGGCTAAAGAGGTACAGCTCTGGAAAGGAAGGAGCTCCAGATGTGAGCAAAGGATCCCCTTAAGTCTTTGCTTAGCTCCAGGCCATAAGTGTGTAGTTAATGCCACAGGGCTGGACAAGGAGCCACTGGGGGAGCTGTAGGCAGAGCCATTCCCAGAGTTTGTGCAGAGGACAGGTGCTGGCATCTGTACAAGGTACAGCATGCAATCTAAAATTATTAGATACACCAGGAGGCAGGAAATGTGACCAGGTACCTGGCAGGAAAACCAGTTAACAGAAATGTGAAAGATGCTGGACTGTGTGACAAGGAGGTTAAAACTCATTGTAGCTATGGATAAGTCTTAAAAGGAAAAGGAAAATAGTGAAATGACAGAAATATAGATATAAAAAAAGAACCAAATGGAAGTGGAAATGAAAAACATGACGTCTGAACTGAAAGTTGCACTGGAACAGATCAACTGCCGACCAGACACTGCAGAAAAAAAGACACAGCCATCAGATCCATTGGATATAAAAATGGTCACTGAGGTTCTGTTCTTTTGCCTCAGAATATGGGACACCAGCAAGGGTGAAATATGAGGACAGGATGGGGGAAGGGTAGGAAAATGCCTGAAGGAATGAGGGCTAAAGGTTTTCCAACTGTGATGAAAACCCTATGCAACACGCTCAAGCCCAGGGCAAGATAAAGCTAAGAAGGGGAATTTGTGAAGCCCCAGGGATGCACTGTTTTATCTCCCTCGCCACTGCATGAAGCCAGAGCCTGCTTTCCTACCACTGAGGTCTCTGCATGGGAGAAACTTTCTCAGGCTACCCCAGATCTGTCAAAAATGTGCAGCAGCCACCATGGACACCCGCCACATCCCTCCACCCGGGTTGAGTGGCCCCCATCTCCATGGCAACCATCACCCCAGCAACAACACACAAGGCAGCCTCCACCTGTGCTGCAAAATGTGATTCTGGGCTTGACACCTCAAATACAGCAGTGAGTTTCTGGAAAGGTGTTGATCAGAGCTTAGCTGCAGAGCCTCCCCTGCACGGAGTTGTGAGGATCTGGAGAACCAGCTGCCTCATTGCCGGGAGGAGGAACCACAACAACAGGGTGGGTTCCATGGTTCCCAAAGAGTCAAGCCTCTCTAACCACACCTGGGCCTCCTTCCCACACATATCCTCAGAGGGCAAGAACATTGTTTGTGGTCACTGCTGCTGGCCAGGGAGACTTTCTGGGAGGAGGGAGCAGGTACTGGTCTAAGGGCAGCAGCTACTCCTTGGTTGCCTGGTGGCCATGAGCAGAGGGAACACAGATAGGCCCACAGTGAAAGCAGGAGCCAGTAGTGTCCACTTGCAATCTGCTGGGGCTTGGGGGTGGGGAACAGGTCAGGGAAAGTGGGCAAGTTATTTAAAAATAATTTCAGAACATCAAAGGCACCAGCCACCTCATTCTTCCTCCTTCAACAAGATTCAGCCTTTGAAAGCCTTGCTCTGCCTTTTTTTTCTTAACATAGAGAATATAAACCCTAAAATTTCCCAAGAGACAGGGGGTAGGAGTAAGATACCCGCGCTGAGCCTACTGGTAGGTGCTGGAGCCCATGCTGCGGGAGACGTAAGTGGAGAACCCCAGAGGCGTCAGCCAGCAGTGTCCATTTCCTCAGTCAGGAGCATGCTGATCCCTGAGCCTGAGAGGCCCCCTATGGACACACCACCATCCACGTGCCGATGGGAACCCACGGCTCCGTCTCCCTACCTCACACCAGCATCCTCCCTGGACCAGCAGATGGAGCCCCAAATCTCTCTGCCCCCCACTTCCTGCTTGTCAGACCATCCTTGTCTCCCTTTGTGGAACTTTGTTCCTCTGTGGGGTTTCTGAGCCTGGCCGAAGAGAGCCACCAGCCGAGGACTCTGTCTGCCACCCCTGTACACAGTGCACACAGGAGCAGCTAAGGACAACCAAGTGCCTGATTATTTGGCCAAAGGAGAGAGATGCACATCATCTACAAGGAGGGCTGAGGTGGAGGGCAGGACCCAGGGTGAAATGGCAGGGTGCCCAGAACTGTATTCCATGTGTATCTGCAAAAGCAGCTTTTGACCTCCAGATGCCCACAGCAGAGCTGCGTGGAACAGCATCATACCCAGCCAGAGGGGCCCAGGAGAGGCACAGGCAGCAAGGACTCCAGGGATTACAGGGCTGAGCTCAGGGGCCACTCTGTGGGCCTCCTGGTCTCACTACATGAACAAAGAGGGGACAATGCAGGAAGCAGTACAGAAAAGCCCAGGCCAGCCACTCTGCCTCCCCATGCTCTGTTTCAGTTCCGCCAACCAGTGGGGCCGCCACAAAGGGAAGACAAGGCCCATCTGTTTGTACAGCTGAAGCTGTCTTGTCAACTGGAAATCATAACCATAGCAAAACAGGGATTAAGGGTCCCAGGCTGCCCAAAGCTACACCCACCTGGAGAGATACTTTTGGCTGGGGCTGATGGTTTGGTGAAAAGGAAAACAAACTATGGTTCCCTAATAAAGAAGAAAGGGAAGCCAGTAGCCCTAGGCCAACCTAGAGAGGGGGCTCCAGGGATAGGTCCTCTGGGTACACCTCCTGGCAGAGGGTCCTGCTGGAGCTACAGCCTCCTTAGCCTCAGTTTCCCAGATGTCTGGGACTCACAGTGCTGTGTACATGACAGCCTCCAAGGCTAAACACTGCTTATCATTTCTGCTAGGAGACCTCACCCAGCCACACCTCAGATTCCCCATCTGTAAAGTGCCTGCGATCCCTTTTCTTTCTTTTTTTAATCCTTTTATTGGTACATTTTAGGTGTACAATATAATGACATTCATCATTGGAAATTTGCACCTTTACATAGTCTCTCTTGGTTCTTATTTTTCCCCCTTCTCCTGCCCTCCCTTCAACCCCTCCATCCCTCCTTATTTACAAAGACTTTGTTTCCATTTTTTCATTTTCTCACATTAATTCCACTCCCTTCTTTCCTTTCCCCTAGCCCTCCCACTTCCCCTTCCCCTTTGCCCCTTTTCATCCTATTTCACATTATCTATTATACCTTTTAGTCCTTATTTACACTTTTAGTTTCTCACACTAGAGACACTACTGGGTATTTACACGTGTGTCCTGTTTATTTCACTTAAGAGTATCGCCTCAATGTGCATCCATTTAGCAATAAATGTCTCTAATTTCTCGTTTTTGATGGCTGAGTAGTACTCCATTTTATAAAAAAAACACATTTTCTTTATCCAGTCTCCAGTTGATGGACACTTGGGCTGTTTGATCCCTTTTCCTTATACTGCTGCTGTGAAGGACTTTCCAAAAGCTGGCTGGCTAAGCCAGCTGAACCTATGGCCCACACCCATTGCATTAACAAGGTGGCTGGGGGGACTCACACAGGTGACCTTTCGGTAGATCTGGGCAGCATTCTGGCACTCCGAGTAGGGGTACTCCGAAGTAGCCATCTCCAGCATGCACATCCCAAAGGCGTAGACGTCCACAGACTCATCGTAGTGCTCCTCATACATTTCTGGTGCCATGAACTCAGGTGTACCTGGGCCAGGAGCAAAATATGCGGTCAGCTGGCCACACCCAAGGATGCTGGGAGCCAGTACTCAGGAGCCCCCTTGGCCTCTCAGACCCCATCCCTGCCCCATCTGTCCAGTGGCACCCTCAGGACACCCAAGTCTACGATGTCTGTCCTGGAACCCAGGATTCAAACAGATGTGCTCCATAGTTTCAAAAACTACCCCCTAGAGCCTCATGATTCCAGGGTTAACAGTCAGCTCAAAGCACCATCTCCTACCCAGAGGACTTCTCAGGGACATGCCTGCACCCTGAGCACACCCCTCACCTATGTGTGGGTATTGGGCCTCTGAAGACAGGCTCAGCATTGACTTCATTCAGCCAGTCCAGAGCAGACAGAAACCCAGTGGGCACCACAGAGCTGCTTCTAGCTGCAGAAACCCAGGGAGGCCCTAAGTGTCCCTGGGTGGGGGCATGGCTGGAATCACTGGGCACACCCCAGCAACAAGTGTCACAGGGCAGATGCAACTGTCCTCACCTCAGAACATACTACCATGGCTGGACAAATGCACCCACCCAGTTGACATGAACCACAGAGACACTAAGACCAGAACCACTCATCGTGTATTAAAAAAGGAACAAGACAATGTTTGATCTGAACCTTCAAGGACAAAGAAACTAATGACAGCCTGGTAAAATAAATGTGCACCTACATAAAATGACACACACAGCCAGGGACTGTCGGGGAGGGGCCATGGCTGATTTTCCTTCTACTTGCTTTACTTATGAGGTTTTAAAATTTTCTATAATAAACCTTTGCTTTAATAATCACAAAAGCTCTTTATTAAAATAAGTCAAATAGAATATTGAGCTGGACTCAATGAAGAATCAGAGACTTAGGCAGCTTTTAACATCTGTATGTTTGCTGACTTTGCAAGATTTTTCCAAAATCTTCTAGAGTTTTTTTAAAGCACTTGCAAAACAGTATAAACTAATTCATTGCAGTAAAAAGCACATGTTGAGGTTTCTTTTATACATCATTCAATTTAACACATTATGTGAGAGCCAGGGATTTAGCTCAGTGGTTCCAGTGCCTGCCTCACAAGCGCAAGGTCTCAAATTCAATCCCCAGTACCAAAAAAAAAAAGAAAAAAAAATGATGGGTTTAACCAAAACAGTGAAGCTTTGGGGGAAAGTAAGAATGTATGTTCAGGTTTATGTGCAGGAGTACAGAACTTGTGAGCTGGGTGTGGTGGCTCATGCCTATAATCCCAGCACTCAGGAGGCTGAGGCAGGAGGACTGCCATGAGTTCAAGGTCAGCCTGGGCTACATAGTGAGTTCAAGGCCCGCTTGAACTACACAGTGAGAGCCTGTCTCAAAATAATAATAATAATAATAATAATAATAATAATAAAAGGAGTACAGAACTTGGAAAGAACCTACCAGAAACAACAAGGGCTGACTGCAGTCAAAGCACCTTGCTTTAGAAAGTTTTCTCCTTTTGGTTTTGAACTACATGGTTATACTGAACTTTTTTTTTTTTACAGTAGTTTGATATTTTGATAGTTTTTTTCCCCATCCCTAACCCTCTCACAGAATAGTGACTACGCTGCCCACTCTGGGGCTAGAAGAAATGATCCCACAAAAGCCACAGCCACTCAGATCCCAGTCTGGTGACAACATGAACACCTGTTCTCAGGCCCCTCCCACCTGTCACACCCTGGGGTCCCCCCCAGCAGATCCCTTAAGGGGCTCACCACCTGCTGCACAGGCCTAGACCAAACACCTTGGCCACTAAGGCAGGCCTGCCATGGTGGGGGCTGGAGTACAGTGAGATGCAGGGCTCACTGGGAAGCCCCAAGCTGCAGGAAGGAAGGGCTCACTCTCCAGGGCCACCTCAAGTGCCTACAATGCCACCCACACTAACTGATCCTGAAGGAGGCAGCAAGAGCTGCACGGATGGCCACAGCCTTTCTTCTGCTTTTTAACAGAGCAGTGGCTGTGGCCAGCCCTTTGCAGCTGATGGGGAAGGGCTGCCTCCCAGATCCTGGTAGAAGTGAGGTGGGAGGGACTGGCTCCAGCCTGATGTTTAAATCACCCTGTAGCCCACAGAAACTGTTTCTGGCTAGTAATGAAATACAGTGACTTCCTGTATGAAATCAAAGCCCTATCTCCTAGCCCTCCCTGTCCTCATAACTTGTGTTAGAACAAAACTGAACCAACATAGTTGGCCCTTGCCCACTTTCTCAATGGACAGGAGAAATCTGCCTCCTTTCTCCCAACAAAGGGAATAGGTGGGAACCACATGGTCTGGTGCCCCTAAGTGTTCGTCTGTAACTGTAAAGCAGCCAGCCATCCAGGGACATCCTGCAGTTCTTCCTAGAGTAGCCGCCCTCAGCTCACCTTGGCCTCCTTCCCAGTTCCCTCCGCACTGGACGCAGTTCTACCATCACCACCTCCAGGAGCCCTCCTGGGTAAGCCAGGCACCGCAGCAGCCCCAGGGCCCTGCTTGCTGCATGATGTGGACTCCTGCACCAGGCAGGACCACATCTACTTCACCCCTGTCCCCTCAGGCTCAGTACACACAAGCCAGCAAAACCCACAACATGGAGGTGTGAGAACCTACGCAGTGAAGCCCTGCCTATGGCACCTGGCTTTTATACCTTTGTCCTCGCCTGGCATTGAGTCAGTGACAATAGCAGCCCTAATGCTGAGAATGCCACCCAGGCACTGGCAGGTTGTCTCCCTGAAACCATACACACCTCTCCCAGAGCAGCCAGCGGCTGTAGACTTCCACCTTCCCATGAGCTACATCTGAAGGGCAAACCCAAGGCTGTCAAGAGGAAACCGTGAGGGCCACAGCAGGAATGTCCATACACTGCCTGCTTCCGGGACATACAGAAGGGTAGGGCCTGTGGCCTGAGGCTGTCCTTCTGACAAACTGAGGACTCCAGAGGGGCCGAGCCTGCTTGACCCACAAAGCAGATATGAGTTAACACCCCTCCCAGGCAGGGCTGACCACCAATAGGCCCAGGAGAGAGGTTCCAATTCAAAGGACTGGGCTCACCTGGAAAACAGGTCTGGGAAGCCCCACCTGCCTGCAGCCCCTCACCCAGCTGCTGGCCCTTGCCCTGGTAACAAGCCTTATTTTACGTGAGCAGAGGCAGCTGGAGACACTTCTGGCCCCAGCCTCACTAACCCAGGCTTCTTGGGCTCCAGCTGAGCCAAAGCCAGGGTGACCACCAGTGCAGGAGACGCAGCACTGATTATGCCCAAAGCAGGCTCTCAGCAGTGCAGGCTGTGAAGAGTTAACACCACAATTGGCTTGTTTTGAGAAATGAGTCCGAGGAAAGCCTACATGCTGAGGGCAGAGTAACTCACACCCAAATGCCTTTCCCACATCTAAAACCTTCTTACTAGAAAGACAATGTTCTAATTACAACCATATATTTTGTCTATTCTGTTCCTAATTCAAGAATTCTTTGTCTTTTCCTTTACAAGCCTTGTCTCCATTAGTTTCCATAGAAACTGCATGACTGCACATCCTGGAACATAGTTCACCTTTACCCCAATTGATGACCAATAAAAATCAGCGGCTTGGACTGACCAGCGCCTTTTGCTAAAGCAGCCCTGGCTGTCCTGGCCCCTGCTTTCTGTCTCTCTTAGTTCTACCTTTCAGTTTGGTTTATTTCCCTCAGGCTTGCATCATACACTGAGCAGGAGACTGGAGCCTACTGCAGAGGTTGCCAGTAATGTTTCAGGGGTTTCCAGTAGACCAGAGATACCCCATAGACCCAGGCACCTGAGTGTGAGACACAGGGCCTTGCTGTGCCCGTCAGAAACACTCAGCCTTCGCCTCAACCCCCTCAAAACACCCAACCTGGCAATGGGAAACCTTGTTCTCAAGAGGGCAGAGCATGCAGCCAGAGAGGACCAGGAGCTCACCAGGCACCTCGGCTTCTGGAGGGGTAGGGGGTGCACTTTGTTCCAAATGTTTACTTCTCAGGTGAGTCACCTTAGTGGCCCTCCTGCCACCTGTCTCAGCCCACGGTCTGAGACCAGGACTCACTTGCAAGATCACATTTGCAAAACCTACTGCCTAGAGCTCAGAGCCAGGATGTGGGTCCCCCAACCCCTGGAGCCCCACTCTTACCCTTCTAAGATGGAGCACAGAACCTTTCCTGTCTGTCTCACCCATTGCACAGACAGGAAAACTGAGGCCTGGGTCAGTCCCTGCTCCACACCACCCAGCTCCCTGAGGGCTGCCCAAGTCCTGTGTTCAAAGGCCACCCCCCTCCCAAGCCATTGGCTGCCTGCCCCAGATGTCACTCACATTCCAAACACTACTCCAACCACAGCAGTTTCCAGATTAACAAGCGTTTATTTTTCCCAAAGAGGCCAAGTTTTGTCCCCAAATATATAATAAAACCGTGAATTTACACAGCAGCAAACCCAACAACTCATGATCCTACTTGGGACCTGGTGGACCATCAGTACCACTACGCCAGGACCACTGAAGCTGGGCACACAGCAAAATGCAGATCCCCTATCTCCCCACAGCACCTATGGGCCAGCTGCCCCCCTGGGCCCACGGAGCCTCCCCTGAAAGGCAGCCAGAGAGCTTCTCAGAGGAGGACATCCGAGCCAGACTGAAAACAAGAAAGAGGCCACAATGCCCAGGAGAGACCCTCAGTACCTCCTCCCATAGTACACAGACACCACTCTGGACCCATCTTCCAGCTTTGTCTGTCCCCAAACATCCCAAGTTGTCATTTCCTTGGGCCCCACAGCATGGGGCACCACCACTTCTGCCTACTGACACTGGCTCCAGCGTCACTTACCACAAGCTCCCTAGTTCCTCTGTGGTCAGGGCCTCCTTCCCCTCCCAAGTGACCACAACACCCACGAACACCACGGAAAGTTGGCACCACTCTGAACACTCAGAGCTGGCACCAAAGAGAACCAGGGAATTAATGCAGAGCCCATCCAGGTCCCAAGTCTGGGAGAGTGGGGGCAGCACTTCCTCCACAGGGCAGGTCCCCTGGCTGAGCCACCAGAGTCTGGGAAGGACAGTTCAGGTGCCCAGCCAGAGGCCACTATTCCTAGATGTGACTCCTGCTGGGGTTCCCACACAAGAGCGGAAGTGGTCAAACAAACCAGACACTGTCAAGCCCTCACCTAGTCCCCCAGGGGCTTCCTATCCTGGGGAGGAGCCAGGGGCTTACCTATCACACTTTTGGCGAAGGACGCTCTTTTGAGAGTGGCCAGGCCCAAGTCACCAATCTTCACAGACCCAGTGGGCCCAGTGATAAAGATGTTGTCACATTTCAGGTCTCGGTGGATGATGGGTGGTGTCCTCGTGTGCAGGAACATCAGGCCCTTCAGGATCTGCCGGCACCAGCTGCGCAGCACCTTGGGCTTCATCACCTTGAACCGTTTCAGGTACCTGGGAGGGGGCACAGCTCAGCACGTAGCTCACGAGCCACAGGCCTGTGCAAAGGGCTTGTCTAGCACCAGCCAGCCTGTTTCAAAGCCTGTGCATGCACATGCAGCACCTATGACAGGTAGCAAGGGTGAGAGAGGAGAGCCAGGTAGTTCTGGCCTGGGCCAGGTCACACAGCTGGAGTCAAGCCCTAAAGCAGGCAGCCAGGACAGGACCATGACCCTCTGCTTGCTTCTTGCACTGGGAACCTTGATACTAAAGTTCATCCCAAGCACAGTGCTGATCTCACCCTGACATGGCACCAAGATCTACTGAGAGGCAGCTCCAGGAGGATAAAGTCCCAGCCAGTGGGTACTCAGGGTGAGGATTAGGGTTAGGGGAGCCCAGGACCTGAGGGAATGCCCAGGGCCAGAGGTCAAGAAGCCCAGGCCCTCCCTGCAACTCGACACCTGTGTGACCTGCTCTGAGGTGTCCCTGGAGAAAAGGCGGCAGGTGAGGCTGGGAACAGGGCTTTTTCCTTGCTGTATCTTCACCTGTGAGTGAAATCACCTGGTGGCAGGGGGACAGCAAGATCCTTCCCAAGGCCCAAGGGGCAAAATAATTCCGATGAACCCAGACTGCGGACACCGGAAAGGAAGGCCTCCCATCTGCACAATGTGGACAAGGGCCTCACAGAGAAGCAGCAAGCTGCCACCTAGCTCTAATCCCTCATCAGGTTTCCTTTCCAGCCCGTTTCTGAGCACCAAAACGTGCCAGGCTGGCTCCCAGGTAAAAACAGCACCTTGGCCAGAAATAAGACTCCAGTCAGGGCAGGCAAGCAAACCCCAGGAGGAGATCGTGGGGATACTCTCCCAGTCGTGTACTGGGATGGGCCCCATTTGTCACAGGAAGCCAGAGGGAGCCAAAGGTTAGGAGGAGCTGCTCAGTTTCTTTGATTTGTTTCTTCTCATTTGGGGAAGGGGGTTCCAACTGCCTGGAGAATGAAGGCTATCACCCAAGGGGACACTTCCAAGAGGCAGGATGATGGCTTCTGGAAACCAGCCAGGATGCTCCCGGAAGTCCAGGACCGTGGTCTGCCCCCCACACACACTAACACGACAGCCCTGCTCTCATGACCAAGGCTCCCCAGCCCACAGGCAGGTAGCACTTACGTCTTCAGGGTCCCTGAGGTCATCAGCTCAGTCACCAGCACGATGCATCGCTTGCCCTTGGCACTGGACTCCCAGAAGTCATAGAACCGCACAATGTTGGGGTGCTGCAGGCCTTTCAGCATCTCCGCCTCCTCCTTGAACCTCTGCCGCTCCAGCTTGGTGAGCTTTCGATCCTAGCATGATACAGACATGGGTGAGCAGGGCTTGTGGGCCTTGCCACTGCTCTCCCTCACCTTACCAGGGAGAGGAGCAGGTGCAGGAGACACGGGCGGGCTCAGGAACGAGTAAAAGAATCCACCCTCTCTCTCTACTGAGAGTGACGAGCTGGCCAGGATCGAGTATAACCCCACAGATGGACCTTACCAAAGAGCAGTTTCAGGAAGCCAGAGCTCATGATGCACACTGCCAAGCTCACACACACGTTCTCCTTAAAAACACCTTGGAGGCCTCTGTTCCCTTGGCAACCATTTACTTTGTGTTTATTAAAAGAATGGAACATCGTTTTGGTTCTAATGTATACACAGCTCCAATGAAGTGCTCAAGGCCCCAGAGACTAGACCTGAGACACTGACAAGTGCCAGAGACCATGCAGAAGGAAAAACATCGGGGGCCTGCTGGGGCAAGAGGATACAACACAACTTCCCTGGCCTCGGATCTTTGTGCCTGACCCAGCAGCAAAACAAGCCCACTGACCTTAGGTTTAACAAGGATCAATGAACATTGGGGGCTCTAATCGGGCATGTGAGCTGGGCGTCCCCACCCAAAAGCTCTGCTCACAGCCACACAATCACCAATGCCATGTACCACATCTACCCTGTCCCACCACTGCCATTCCTGCCCACTGGACCCAGTCCCCACTATCCCATCCTCTACTCTCCCATCCAGGTCCCTGCCTGATTCCCTATCACAGCTCACCCGATCCTGGCCCTTCCCTCCCGAAATCCTTCAATGGATTCTCACCACCAAAGGGCTCACCCAGAGACTGTACATATCCACCTTCATCCCACAAGGTGAGACACAGTGCCGTGGGCATAGCTGTGGCCTCTCCCAAGTCCATGAGTGCATTGTGTCCATCTTGCCCCAGGTCACCGCCAGTCCTGCCCCTGAGAGGCCCACACAGCAATGCCCACCTCCTCCCCAGGAGCCACGGGGAGGTGAGAAAGTGACATGCGTGTCCAAAAGGAAACCATACACACATCTAGTACAACACAGAGAAACCTGAGGAATTCCAAGGAGTCCAAAAGCAGATGAATTTGGAGAGACGGTGGGAGATGAGAACATAAAGAGAACGTAAGCCAACATCCCCAAGATCCTTCTGGAAGTCCCCAAAGAGCATGAAGCCAGGCTCCAACACAGAGAGGAAAGGTGGGCTGTGCCGTCAAGACAAGAGTCATCTTGCTAAGGAATTATATCCCAGGTGGCAGCTGCGCCATGAGGCCATTCTTCCCTCACCTGCCAGTCCATTCCCTCCATCCCAAATCCTCTCAGGCACCCTCACTCATCAATGGGACAGACAGCAGCCATCATCACAGAGCCAGCCAGCCAGAGAAACCATTAGCATGGCCACACCCAGAAAGACAAATAATCCAGGGGTGAGGGCAACTTCAAAAGCACCTTAATTAGTATTCCCATAAAGACCCAAGAAGTGGACATGCATACATAAAAGCAAGCTTCCATGTAAACAGGGACAATCAAGAAAGAGTTCTTGCAAATTAAAGCTGGGCTAGCCTTCCTCAAAAGCTCAGTGTTTTAAAAATAAGATATTCCAGCCTGGCCTGATGACTCACACCTGTAATCCCAGCAGTCTGAGAGGCTGAGGCAGGAGGAACACACACTGGAGCCCAGCCTGGGAAACTCAGCAATAAAGAGAGATTCCCATCTCAAAAATAAGAAATAAAAGGGTTTGCGATGTAGTTCAGTACAAGGACCCTAGGTTCAATCCCCAATACTAAAAACAAAAAAGATACTCCTTAATCAAACAAATATTAATCTTTTTCTTTCTTTCTTTTCTTTTTTTTTCTTTTTTTTCTTTTTTTTGGATTTTTTGAGGCAGGGTTTCCTTTTTAGTTCAGGCTGGACCTGAACTCACTATGTAGCCCAGGCCAGCCTCAAACTTGCAGCAATCCTCCTGCCTCAGCCTCCCAAGTACTGGGATTACAGGTGTCAACCAACATGCCCAGCTAGAAAATGTTAATCTTTAATCTACATAACAAAATGGAAATATGCTCCACTCATTAAAATGATTATTTATCTAAGAAAATAAAAGCCATGCTACAAACTGCAAAAATGACCCCTTTCCACCCCACCCCACACCCCATCCCCTGCTCTCTCCCTTCCTCCCTCCCTCCATAC